ACAACACCAGCTATCCAGTAAGCTTTGGGATTTGAGGAGAAGGGCATTTGGGTGCATACAAACATTCTTTCCGTTGCATGAATGTAATTAAGGCGACACACAACAAAGTCGTCTTCTGTTCCAAAAGCATCCCATCAATCCTCTCCTTCAAATCTCTCCATTCCCTTTAGCCATAAGATCTTCATCTGAGACCACTGGCCTGCCATGAACTTCTGATGAACCTTAAGCAATGTATCTATCCACTTGTCTTTTGTTTTTATTTCCTCAACGTCATAAAGAATGAGTGGCCTGTCCCTGAAAGTTAGGTGCATGATGTACAACAGATTATCAATGGTACATGTGTTGGTCAGCATCAAAGAGCGACCTTCCAGCTGTCCATGACCAGACAATGGAGGAGGTATGAATGATTCTTCCTTTACTGTCACTGACTCTTTAGGGGGTTGAAGTATTTTTTTTTCTGTTTTTTTTTTTTCTATATTTCTCCTCCTGACTCAGTGTTTGGTCAATTTCGTCTATTTCTTTGTCCTCAGTAGTATTTTTTTCAGATTGCAGTTATCTGAATACCACGCCGATGACCAGAAATCAATTCATGCATTACCTGTATGAAATTTCCTCACCGCCTCATTTTTCAAGACTATTTTTGTTGTTGTCCTGAACCAATTTTCAGCTGTTGCATTGGTGTCAAGAGTCTAGCCAAGTTGTTTCAACATGATGCCTGTCCAGAGGGGTAATGTGCCTATGCACATTAATCAAAAGTGGACAGTGGTAGAGATTTGAGGGAGCTACAACGGCTTTATGTTTCAAATGTTTTCTCCTATCTGAGAGGATATATTCAAACATTTGAACAAAGGAAGAGTCATGCCTCATTGTCTTTTGTGATGTCTGCATAGAAATCCTTCTTTTTCACTTCCGAAGTTTCCCCAATCCACAACAATGGCCTGGTTTTGGATTGCATTCTGCAGATTTTTTAGACTATCCTAGCGGCATGCTGTTTTTTTCCTCTGTAAAAACAGTGAAAATGTCCCCAACCATTGCTTGAATCTCCTGTAGTGTTGTGGCATTCTGCATCAATGCCATCGAGTATATGAAAAGCTGTTTGGTGGGTTTTGATGTTTTATACGGGCTACCTTGCAGCAGAATATTTTGAGCATGTGTGCTGCACAAATGTGCACTACAAGGAATGAACAATGTTCTTTTCCCTCCCACGCCAGAAGACACTCCTGCAAGTATTTGTGTATTGTTTACTGGCAGAAAGCATGTACACATGCATGTATTATTGGCCAGCTGAAATCGGTTTCAATTTTGTCCGGCTGTAGGTGTTTTTTAAAACATTTTTAAGAAAGTCCTGTGAAAGACATGTTAGCCAGTGCTGCATAGATGGTGTGCTATGGTCAGATGAGAGCATTTTAGCAACTGGAACAACTGTTGGCCCTGTTGTTGATGTTGCAGAAGAACAAAGGGCATAGTACAGTACATGCTTAACATTCCTTGGATTAGCAACAACTGTTCCTGTTCCAGGTATAAGCAAAGAATGCCTTATTTTGGAAGTTTTTAAAAGTTGTCGCTGATCAGTTGTGTACATGGGAGTGATGAATGGGGAAAGTGCCACAAACTGCAGATAATAATGGTTTAGATGACTGAACTCATGGTTAAGGTCTTGTTCTTCTAGGATTTTCATGCAATCCAGAAAAGGATGTGTGTCCATTCTGTTTTCAAGGTTTTTTTTCACTGGAAATCTTTTGCAGTACTGTGAGTGGAGGTACCTCGTTTGTGTTTCCCTCAATTAACTTTTGCTCATCAGCATCATCAATTTTTTTGGTGTGAAGATGAATGGGTGTTAATATAGCCAACTTGCCCTTTAGTGATTCGCTTTCACTTGCACTGGTACGCTTGCAAGAATGGGTTTTAACCACAGCGGTTCGAACTGTAGTTCTGCCGAGAGACTAAAAGGTTATTAGAATGATTGTAAAAAAACTGCATTTCTAGTCAAACCATTCTTCTGCAATCTCATACCAAAAACGGAAATAAGGGCAGTGTAAATAGCTATAAATGTGGGAGAGTGTTGATATTATGTGACTGTATTGTATTGCAATATGGAAAAATAAAATGTTGAGGTTAAATCAAAAGTAATTCACAAATACTTGAAAATGAAATGATTTAATGACAATAATTCTCTATGGTTACAACTGAATTAATAACAAAATAACTGTAAAATGATAAAACATAAAATGATAAAACATTTGATATAAACTGTACCCAGCTTAAATGTAAAATTAAAGTTACCAGAGGTAGAAGGAGAGACACAAGGGGAGGAATAGAGAGACAAAGAGAGCTGGCCCAGAAGTTAGCCTGATTGCAGTAGAGTCAGAGAAGATGGAGTGTAGATGAGGGGCCTGTTTCAGAATGGAGGTTAAGTGAAAACTCAGAGTATTTGAACCCTGAAATGAGAGAAACTCTGGGTTTTCCGTTTCAAAATGGCAGGTTTGTTAAACTCGAGAAAGCAGGTTAAGTCAAGCCTGTTTCTGAAAGAAAGGTAACTTTAACTCAGAGTCAGTTACCGTGGTAACTTACTCTGTGAATCTAACCTGGTCCGGAGCAGGTTTTATTTTCTAAACTCTGAGTTTCAGTCGGTCTCCTCCCCTTTTTTAAAGATAAAGCGGTATTTTACTTAGCCTTACGTCTCCGCACACCTGTTTTAGAGCTCATTTTGGAGACGTGCATAAAAACGATTGATGGAAACGTCATGATTCACATAACTTATTAAAATACGCATAATAAAACATGTGCATAACTGAATAGGTTCAACTTTTATTTGAGAAGATGCGCTTGAACTATGAAGGAAACACTTAAATTACAGTATGTACATTAAAAAAAGGTTTGTTAGAGATGATGATGAAAAAGTGTGTGAATGGATAAACCAGCAGACTGAACACACAGTAGAACATCTTAAATGTTGTTTTGGTCATTCTAAAATGCCTTAACTGTTTCAGTATTATTGTATATTATTAATTACTCCAGTTTTGCACAAATTTATGTAATATATTTGGATGGAAACATAGATATTGCCTACATTTTTGTCACACACAGAACAAAGTCACATACGAGAATGGCTTGTCCTTTTTTCATAAATAATTAGCTTAACCTTTGACATGTACTGTTACTACATTAATGGGATTACTGTTCTTTCTAAAAAGTATTTTTAGCACTGCTTACCTTCTAAATGTTATATCAACCTCTATCACTTGATCAATAAAAAGGCAGACACACAAGTGCACTGTTAAATCAATTAAAACTGATAAATGTGTATAAAAGTTTAGAAACATTTTATAAACGTCACACATTACATTACCTATTTTATTATACATAAATATTTAAATACTTAAAATTAAAAATTACGCATTAACTTGAGTAGCTGTTTTCTCACGCTAACTGTCTGTTTCACTGATGGTTGCTTCTTTTTAAATATATACACACTCATATTTGCTACAACTTTGCATGAGCAGATCAAATTCACCCGGAGAAAGAAATGCTGATCTCTTTTTTTTAAGATGTTGCCATAGTCACTCGTAATATCTGTGCTCCATTGATAATGCCTTTTTATAGTCACGGTAAGCGCGCTTAACTCTGAGTTGGTCTACTCAAAGTTGATTGACCTAACTCAGATCAGCTGTTCTGAAACCGAAAACTCTTGAGTTTTTAATCTCTTGGTAAATCAACTCAGAGTTCAAGTTTAAACTCCGAGTTGTTTGAACCTCCTTACTGAAACAGGCCCCAGGAGAGGAGCAGAGCAGGGGCCTCATGTATCAACGCTGCGTACGCACAAAAACTTTGCGTACGCCAGGTTTCACGCTCAGAATCGCTCACGTTTGGATTTACTAACAATGAACTGAACGTGGGAATGTGCGCAGCTTCACGGCAGGTTTCTGGCTGGCGTATGCACATTTTTTGTGCGTGTCTGTTTTATTTCCATTGGCGACTCCTAGAGGCAGTTGTGTTAAATTCCTCTCCACAAAGTGTCTGAGCCTTGCAATGGCAGCTGTATGAGACGGGTTCATCTAGCAGGTATTTAAGGTTTCCATACCATACAGTTGACCAGCTAAACATTAAAGCACAATTTGCAGCGGTCGCCTGTTTTCCCAATGTAATCTGAGCTATCTACTGCACACACATTGCTGTAAAGACACTATCTGAAGATGAATTTGCATGCGTGAATCAGAAACATTTCCATTCAATAAATGTGCAAATAAAATATGATGCACAAACTTATCGATGATTCCTACTTGTCTTTCTCGTGATAAATAGTAGGCAAAATCTGATATGTAGCGGGGAAAAAAAGAAAAAAGAGTTTATTAGACGCTGGATTCGAGCCGACATTATGCTCGAACATGTCAATACATGATCACATGCGTCTTACAAGGTGCGCCACTGAGACTGTTAAGGTAACTGCAACATTTTACAGATATAAACCACACTATTTCTATATTTAATGCACTCAGTGCGATGTTCAGACCCAACTGTGTTGACCGCATCAGCTAAACTCTCCCACTCTATTTTTTTCTTTTGTTGTTAATTCCGGAGAACAAACTTGCAAATAACACCGCTTTTCTCCGGTCTACCTCCGAAAGCAGCACCTCCAATTCACATTCTGTTTAAAGTTTCTCTTTTTGCTTGATTTTGCCATTGCTTTTTTGTTGGGTTTTCCCATTAGCATAGTCATTTGCATATTCATACGGGGGAGGAGGCAGGGAGGGGTTTTGTGCTCGTGCATGTTGCGCTCAGTTTCACGTTCATTCAGATGTACAAAAGAATATGCGTGAGACTCGGCGTACGCAGTGTTTCATACATCTGAATTTTTTTCTGCGTACGCACATTTACAGCTTTGTGCGTACGCAATGTTTTAGTAAGATTTCCACGCAAGTCTTCGTACATGAGGCCCCAGGAGAGCACAGAGACAAAAAAAGAGAGCCCAGGAAAAGAAACAGAGCAGAGTTTTACACCTATTTTGTATCTTTCTTGACCATGTGACTAAAGCCCAAATACTGAGACATTCAAACTGACCAATCAACATGTGAACAGATCATAAAACGTCCACATACCAGGCCCTGATCTTTTCTGTATCTGCCAAAGACCAAAGTTCTTACGAGGAGAAGACTTTACTGAAGACAATGAATAGTGCAGTTCCTCAACAGTGATGTTAACCGGTCTTCTTCAAGTAACTTAACCCAAAGTACAGTCTGTGAGACACTACTTTATAACAAAAGATGTAACCCCTATATAGAATACCCAACTGCTTTGAGTGGGTCACAAGTCTTGAGTTCCAGTAGATCATTTGGTTTACACCTTTTCAGACGCAGTACCCATATTTGTGTTTACACGAAGGCCTCAATTTTGAGAACTCTGTTCTCTATTGTGAAGTTTCATGTGAGTGCTGAGGCTTCTTTTATGTTTAAAGCCCTTTCCACACTTACTGCACCTTAAACGACCCTCTCCTGAGTGAATCTTCATGTGGTTCCTAACGGAGTCTTTGCGTGTGAGACTCTTTCCACACTGATAACATGTGAACACTATGGTTCCAGTGTGACCTTCCATGTGGTTCTTGAGGCTAGCTTTGGTTGTTAAGCTCTTTCCACACTGAGCACATGCAAACGGCTTCTGTCCAGTGTGAGTTATCATGTGTTGTTTGAGTGTGCTTTTACATATGTAACCTTTACCACACTCTGTGCAAAAGTAAGATTTTTCTCCAGTGTGAATCCTCATGTGGTTGTTAAAGTTTTGTTTTTTAAGAAAACGTTTCCCACACTGTGTGCAAGTAAAACTTCTCTCTCCTTTGTGAGTTTTCATGTGGGTTTCAAGGTTGCCCTTTTGCCTAAAACTCTTTCCACACTGAGGGCAAGAGTAAGGCTTTTCCCCAGTGTGAATTCTCGTGTGGGCTGCACAGTTTCCTGCATGAGTGAAGCTTTTTCCACACTGTTGGCATGTGTAGGGCCTCTCCCCAGTGTGAATTCTCATGTGCACTGCAAAGTTTCCTGCATTAGAGCAGCTTTTTCCACACTGTTGGCATGTGTACTTCCTCTCTCCAGTGTGAATTCTCCTGTGCACTGCAAAGTTTCCTGCATGATAGAAGCTTTTTCCACACTGTTGGCATGTGTACGGCCTCTCTCCAGTGTGAATTCTCATGTGGTTTATAATGTTTTGTCTATAAGCAAAATTCTTTCCACAATGTTTACAGCTAAAATTACACCCAGATTTGGATTTCCGAGGTCTTCCGCGTGAAGCCTTTTTAGTCAGTGTAGGTTTTTCATCAGTTGTTATTTCTTGAGGTTTCTCAAACTGATGTTTCTCTTCCATTTCATTCCATTGAGTCTCTTCTTTCAGCACCATCAGGTCTTAAAAAAAAAAAAAAAAAAAAAAAAAACTTTAGTATGAAGGCACAAAGTGACAAGCATGAAATGGATGTTTCACAAATTTAAATGACCCGACCATTTTCTCTTCATCATGTGCTTTTAAACATTTCCTTACTTCTTTGTTTGTGTTCAACAAAATCAAGAAACTCAAAGGTTTAAAGTGAAGTTTAATTTTAAACTAATTTCGAGAGGAGCATGTGCTCATGATTGACCAGCTGGTCCACATTAGCCAATGATGATCCTCCAATCAAAGGATCCCAAGTCACTTTATAAATCCTCATTTCCTTTCTACAACTATCTCTGTCTGGAAGAAACCCCCCTTCTCCCCTTTTTCCAGAATGGATGGCATGGTGGCTCAGTGACTAGCACTGTTGCCTCTCAGCAATAATACCTATGCCGTTTGGTCCTCGCTGAGCCATCTGGTATTTCTGTGCGAAGTTTGCATGTTCTCGGGGGTTTCCCCGGGGTTCCCTGGTTTCCTCCCGCTAGAGGTCTGCATTCCTGCAGGACCCGACCAGATTTCTGCGGCGCGGGAATAAATTTCCGAATAAATCGCGGGAGCGGTCGGTAACGGGTTTAATTTGGGACGGGAGCGGGCTGTCTAGCAATATCGCGGATATTGCTATGAGAGAGCGAGCGAGCTTTGCCTGTGTGTGTGCTTGGTGCTTGTGTGTGTGTGTGTGTGTGTGTGTTAGTGCGCGCGCGAATGAGAGAGAGAGAAAGAGTGAGAGAGCTTTCCCAGATAGCAAAATACACTCGGGCCAGTTCCGGCTAGATTCTCGCCTGCCAGAGACTTACCACTCAGCCCGGCTCCGGCTGCCGGACTCCGGATGCTTGTGGACTCACTGCCCGATTCCGGCCCGAATCAATCGGGCCAGATGCGGCGGCCGTAAGCGAGCCGACGCTGCCGCATCCGCGCCGGAATCGGCCCGAGAGTAATTTGTGCTGCGGCCCGGAGCTGGCACGACTCAGTATTCATATACCTTTATATAAAACCTTTTGGTATTACATTGGTACTTGATACATGGTATTACAAGCCTTTGAGTTGATATAACAGCAAACGCCTGTGTGTCTGCTTGGTGCTTGTGTGTGTGTTAGTGCGCGCGCGTATGAGAGAGAGAGAGAGATTTGTTTGTGTGTGTGTGTGTGTGTGTGTGCTTGGTGCTGTGTGTGTGTGTGTGTGTGTGTGTGTGTGTGTGTGTGTGTTTATACAGACAGCTTGGCTGTCTGGACTGTATGGCTGTAGGATTTTCGGTTTTGTTCTCCCCCGCTCTTTAGCGGGATCGGGCGCGGCGGCCAGAAAATGGGGCGGGTCGAGCAGCGGCACAATAAATTCTTAATATAAGTGGGAGCGGTCGGGTTCGGGCTAAAACCTGGCGGGTGCGGGCGGGAGCGGGATTCAAAATTTAGTCCCGCGCAGATCTCTACCTCCCGCCATCCAAATGTGCTCTATATTATAGATTAAATAAGCCTTAAACCTTTTTTATAATGTCTTACTCTCAGGAAGTTTGCCTTGGCCTCAGCAGCGGGGGAGTTTGAGATCGACCTGAGCTCGATCTCCCCTCGCCCTGCAAAAGGGGGGAGCCCTGGGCTCGAGAATCCCTAAGGCTTGGGCTCTCTCCCGGGATAGCATGCCAAACAAGCTATGTATAAATCATGAGCTAAGTGTGAACTCTTGAAACCACACTAGGGAGAGAGTAAATGGTGAGGCTATTTTCATTTCTGCGTCAACTATCCCTTAAAAGGGTTCCTATTATGAACCTTTATTTACAAGATGTTTGCTCAGAATGTGTCTGAGGTTTCAGCTCAAAACCAGATTATATACCTTGCAGAAAATTTAATTTGGGGGATCAGAGTAAAACCAAGCTCTTTTTGTGCTTGTGGCTTTAAATGCAAATTATCAATGCACTCGCTCTAGATTACTAGTGTCATGTTCCCTAATTTGTATCTTTTACTCAATTAAACAGTTTTAAATTGCTTGGAAGAACCGATTGAGTCAAATCCTGCATGTTCATAGCAAGTACGCATAATTCACACTTATGAGTTTGCATTATTGTATATAATTTATGCAAATGTTTCCCAGTACTGGGTTGCATTTGGAAGGGCATCCTCCCTTTAAAACATATGCTGGATAAGTTGGTGGTTCATTCCGTTGTAGTTGCCCCTGATGAATAAAGGGACTAAGCTGAAGCAAAATGATTGACTGAACTTGTGCAAACGCTTATTGCTACATTTGCTGTAAACTTGCCATCTCCTCATCACTCCAGATGACATACTTTGCTACTCATTTTCATTTAGTTGTACTTTTGTCTTTGTTTTCTTGCCTTTGTGCATTTCCTGAGGCTTAGCTTAAGACCTATGTGGTCACATATTTGACAAGATGCAGAAATGCCAAAAAGGTTACCTGCTGTTACCTGCTCTAATCAAGGACAGTGACAACCTAATAAATATACAAATAATAATGTTTACCGATGTGAAACGTCTGTTTATGAACATCCAGGATAATTTTATAACCATAGGGGCTGTTTCAGAAAAGTGGCTTAAAAAAGCGAGGATTAGTCAAAATCCTGACTTCAATGAGTTGAACTAAATGTTCACGCTTAAATTGGCTCCATAACAGAAAGTTGAGGATCATTTGATCTAACTAATCCGAGTTCAGTAGAAATAATCTAGATAACTGCCCGTGCACGTTACTGTCATAAAACCCTAAAGGTTGAGCACAGATGCATTGATTATGTTGTGTGCTACCATTTTAACAACGATGAAAGAAAGAGCTCTGAAATGAGACACAGCAATGTTCACAGTGAGTGAGTAGCATTTGATTTTTGAGATCAATTATATAATAATGTAAACATAACAATCAAAAACTACGGCTTGCAACAAAGCAAGAAACAAGGCGGACAGGAAATTGCAGATTTTAAAAAGGGGCATTAATTAGGCCTATTAAATGTTAAGTTAAATATTTGTCACAATACATTGAAATATGAGAGAGCCAGAGAGAGAGAATATGCGCTTACTGCCAATTGTTGCTTGCAAGGAAAAGTTAATGCATTGCAGGCTCCCTGTAACATTCAAAATGTACTTAACATCAGCACATCAAGTTTAAGATAATGGCTACAAATAGCCATGCACGCACAAGCAGCTGGATTTTTAAATTGCTCTCAAAACTGCTGCAAATTGCGAAAAGGGTCTGAATGCAGACATGATGCAGTCTCAGACCGGTGCAATCTCAGCCAGACATGCGCATTCAGAGTGATGCAATCTCAGCCGGACATGCGCAATCAAACAGCACTCAGCCGCATATGCGCATACGGGCACGCTTTCCCTCTCTGTGACAGATGCTTCACGTACGGACACTCATGCTGTAGGTATGTTTCACTCGCGATGTTATTAAATGTGTTGTTTTTAATTATTAGGTGAATGTTGTTAAAAACGATCGTCATATGTATCTGATATATCCTGCACACAGGCCCCTCGATGTCATCCGTGTGTTTTTGAGATAAATTAAACAGTTTAGCGGCCGCTAGCTTGTTGACAGTAAATTCATTTATTCATGAGAGTAAATAGGGTAACATTTACAGAAAGTTTGCATTAGATAACGTCACTTCATACATTAGTAAGCACAAATTTACCATGAACAACACATACGTTAAGCTTTAATTAATCTTTATTAATGTTAAATAAACATATGCATCAATTAAAAAGTATCTCTTTACATTAACAGCTTAACATAATTAGCTAATGTTAACTTTCACATAGACTAATGTATTTGTACTTCGATTAAATGACATGACACAATGAACAACACATTTATTCATTAATACTAAATCGCTGTTAACGTAGACTTATACATGTGTTAATTAATGCAGTTAACATGAACAAATAATGAACAATAGTTCAGGTTTAACACTTCACAATCTTCAACTGGCGTGTTATTCATGTTTGTAGACTCTTTTCTAATATGATTGATCACTAGCAAAGCATTAGTTAAGGGTATTAGGAAGCTTTTTGTAAAATGTACACTACTTCAACAAGTGTTACATTTGTAAACTCTATGCTGACTTACCACTAACCCAACATTATAACTGATGTGTTACTAACATCTGTGGGTTTATTGCAAAGCAGTGATTAATGATTTTGCTGTATCTCAAATCAGTGAAAACCACTGATCTCTATCAGATCCTTTACTACGTTACATAAGAGGGAGAACATTGCCAAATAAAAAATAAAAAAAAAACAAGAGCTTTGTGAAATTCATATCAGTAAACAGTTTACAAATGTTAGAAACACAATGTTGGAGTAATGTACACATTACAATAAAGTTTCTCATTCTCTTAACAGATGGTTTGTTACTAATAAACCATGTTAGTAAAGACTTTACAAATGCTAGTAACACAGTTTATTAACGTTAAAGTAGTGTACAATGTACTAAAAGAATCCTAATTCCATTAACTAATGCTTTGTTTGTGATAAATTGTGTTGGTAAAGAGTCCACAAACATGAACAACATGCAAGTTGAACATTGTGTAGCACTGAATCTGGGTCATTGTTCATTATTTGTTCATGTAAACTAATGCAGTAACTAACATTACAATATAAATACGTTTAGAATAACTAAGATTCCCTATTACTGAATAAACATGTTGTTTATTGTTTGGTCATGTTATTTAACCCACAAATAAGTACAAGTGTAAGTAAACAATTAAGCTATTAATAAAAAAGGGATACATTAAAATATCCCTTTAAGAGTATATTAACATTCAAAAAGCTTATGTAAATATCATTGTTCACCATCAGTTCATGTTAAATTCATGTAAATATTTATAGAAATATTATCTGATATAACAAGTTTTTCATAATTTGGTATCTTAATTAATTTGTTTAGACAATAATGAAAACCATGAATATTTTACCAGCTCTATTTTATGGTGTTGATTTGAAAAGCAACAGGGCAGTTTGCAGGTGACCTGCTCTATATAATT